GAATATCGTATTAGATGTGAATTAGCTATTTATGGTGGGGTGGTGGCTCTCAGTTACTGTCATATAAAAGTTAAGTTAATTTTAAATTATTGTTTAATCAAAAATTATACAAAATGTAATCAGAATTATGGTCAAATTAGCAACAAACAAAAGTGCACGAAATGAGGGAAAAACTTGAGCATAAATTTACAAGACAATGACACCGCGAAACCAAACTAACCACTAACAATTGCGGCTTTTGTAGGCGTTCCACACACAAACACTGGCACACACGTGCAGCCGTGAGAAAGTGACGTAACACTAGAAAGAGAGCCTAGCCTAGAGAAACGTAACATTAGAGGGAGAGGCGCCTAACAGTAAGTGTGAAAGAGAGAGGGCGATGAGGAGGAGGCAGGCTAATGCTGAATAGAGCCCACAAACACAGCTGTGTGATGCAGGTGCAATGGCAGAGGGGTAGTAGAGGCAACGAGAGCGAGCATAAAAGGGCTCTTGGGGATTGGGCACCTACATATATATTTTTCGCCATGTCACATAAACTTTTGGCACTCACTGTAATTTATCACACCACACAAATCCCCAAAAAAATTTTGTGGGAGAGAGGAGTAGGGAGTAGCTGTGTAAGAAAGAGAGTGGGAGAGGGAGACTGCCACTATGTGTGTGTGAATGAATGGCAAAGACACATTTTTCTTCTCTGTCCTCTGCACACGCTGTGTGTGTGTGTGTAACTGTTGTAACTAGGAAATGTAACGGTGATTGCTTATCTCCCTCTTCAGCCTCTTCTCTCCTTGGGCACCTACTTCCCTTTCGCCATCACATCGTTTGTATGCACTTACAATCCAAATGCTTCTTCTTCGGTCCAATGCATTCCTCAGTAGTGGCCTTGCAGACGGACTTGGCCAGTCCTTGGCCCGCAAGGCTGTGACGGGCTGCTAGCAGCCTGTCGTTGATTGTTTGCCCTGCCATGGTCATGATGAAGCTGTTGTTGCACTGTGGCTGCTCTTCTCGGTTTCAACACGTTGATTTTTTATTTATTTGATTAATTTAATTATGCACCCAAGGAGTGGACGACACCAGCACCACACACGCACAAACACAAAAACACTGGCACACAGGCACACACCAGCACGCACGTACAGCGAAAGACGGGGCAGAGAGACAGAGAGAGCGAGCGAAAGAGCGAACGAGACAGAGGTATTGATTGATTGAGAACTGTTATAGAAATTTTTGCTACGCGAACGCCACGACCGACACAATTGGGGAGGACAACGGCTCAGGAGTTTGGTTTGATAAGCAGCAGCTGGGCACAATTGAACGGCTCCTTTTTGATTTCACTCTCTCTAACCGGTGCCTAACGCTGCAACGCGAGGCTCTTTTTTTAATTTTTAATCTATATTTTTCTTGTGCCACAGTAGGGATCAGTGTGACCGCGGATTCATCGACTGAATATACCGCCTGACCCTAAGAAATATACCTTCTCATTTTCAAAATATACCGTAAATATTCCGAGTAAAAAGATACCCACCAATATTTATCGCAGTAATATTTAAAAAAATAACCACAAGTTCAGCTCAAAACCAAAATTTGTCCGGCATAAGTTCTAACAAGGTAATAATTATAAGAACGAAAAAGCAAAAATCCCGCGTATGGAAGCTTATATACCCTATGTTCTTTACTTATACCTTTAAAACTGAATGTTTATAGATGCTAATGATCGGCACCGAATGAGAGCTAAAATAGCGTGTCATGTCGCTTCTATTTTAGAGAAGGGAATATAATATGAAAAATATATTTAGAATTTATCGAAGATAGAAAAGTGTGCCGTGACTTATCACCTAAAAATACCCAGATTTTTCGCTTTACGGTCACGTTGCATTCTAGTATTTACGTAACGCGGCTTGTAACATTTTTTAGGTTCTTGTACACGGGCAGACTGGTCATTAAAATAAATAAAATTACACTAAAAAACAGTAGTTAAAACGTAGTTAAACGCATTAAAGTAAAAAGATGTTATATGGACAGATCACACACACCTATCAGGAGAACACGTGCACCTTTTTGATACCACATCCCCATGCCAGGGAGAAGCCATCCCACTCGCCCACACCAGCAGAAGCAGAAGCACCAGCCGAGGCTGAAGCAGCAGAAGCAGAGCCTGGGCGCGGGGTTGTGGATGCCTCGGCGCAGTCGGGTGCCGATGCGGGGTGTGCGGAAGCATTACATGTGGATCGCATAAGGAATTGCGATATATTTATTGACTCGCACGATTTGTACTTTTATGCCGATGTCAAGCTGTACAAGTGAGTCATTATCCAACCATTATCCATATCGTATATATGTATGTATGGCATTTCCTTTGTATTTCCAACAGATTCCACATCCGACGCACATTTGATTTGCGAGAGCTGAAAACACTACTGATAAAATTCAATCCAGAGGATAATCATTACCAGCTATGCCTACGCTGCCTGCCGGCTGCCACTGCGGCCACCACTCAAGATGGTTCATCAGGAGGAGGAGGCGGAGCCTCCTCTAGCATTGGCGATGCCCCGAAACCAAAGACCGTGCGCAAGGAGTATATTGCCACCTTCTTGCGGCTGCCCGCAACGGCCGATGCCATGTATCTGTCGGACAAAGAGTCCCTTGTTCAGGAATGGAAACTCAAACGCATCACCGATCAGTGCCAATTGCAGCTCGAGGGAAGCGAGCGCATCTACAAGTTAACAAATCATTTTGGCTATGGCTATGCCAGCAAATACAATGGACCGCCGGAGATAAGCGATGTAAGTAGAGTAGAATCCAATCTAAATTCTGAGCTCAAACTCTCCTTCCCCGTTAGGTGGATAAATCCACTTGCCGTGTGCTGGAGCCCCATCGCCTTAGCCCCATTCAGCGTCTGCAGGATCGTATTGTCGATGAAATGAAACGCTTCTCGCGCGACCAATACAAAATGAACTTTGTGGAGCTGCAGGTTCCGTCCGGACATCAGAATCCTCTGCGCTACAAGCCCAAAATCTTTGAAACTTCCATGACCCAAGAGCAGGCCCATCTGTTGCACAATCTCAGTCGAGAGGCGTTGCAGAAACAGCAGACGGATGAGGAGCCAGGCGATCCAGACAGCCCCTTGGAGAGGCTCAAGCAAAAGGAGATTGACTGCGGCCTGATTAGCATTATGCTGGCCATTTGCTACGATGTGCGGACCACCAATAACGATCCCACCTGCGAATCGGCCTGGACGCGCAGCATTCTGTGTCCTTTGTTCTGCTACTACGAGCAGTTCGACAACTACAGGGATGTCCTGGTGGCCTTCCTTCGCCGTGCCATAACCTATCCGCTGTTCCGCAACTTTGAGCTCGGGCGCCAGTGTGTGCGAGATGCCATCGAGGTGCTCAAGGGCGGCAGGAACTGGCTGATTAATCAGCTTTTGTTGACGCACCAGCAGTTTGCCAGCGGTGAGCCGTGCCGCGAAAGCTTCAACACCCACTACCTGGAGGACTACATACGCTATGTGACCAATCCGAATGTCTGCAGCGACGAGCATTTGCGTCTGTTGGCCCGCAATGTCAAAAATGTGCTGATGGATGTGACCAAGAAACATCTGAATCTGGGCGTCACCGAAATAGAGACTGAATTGATCCAGGAGCTGATGCAGGAGATGCGTCTGACTGCCGGCGGGGAGTCGCCATCGCTGCAGCATGGACAGGGCGGCGATGATGACATGGATCTGGACAACGATACGTCCGGCCAGGAGGATGAGACAACGACTGATGATGATAGTGTCATAACAGATTCATTCGATAGCATGGACATGGACATGCGTTTGATTGAAAATGAGGCGGTCTATGCGCCCGACGACGAGGACGACGAAGACGACGACGACGATGATGATGGCGGTGCGGATGATGATAATGAGGATACTGCCTCATCGACTACAACCAGCAGCGAGGCGGAGGGCAACAGCGTTATCGAGCAGTGCAGCAACAGCGAGACGGCTGCCAGCAATAGCATCAGCACCACCAGCACCAAGTAGACACATCGACATGTCCTGCATTCTGTATCCTACATGCCCCACCCTCCCGTAACAACAAACCACACACACACACACACACCACACACAACCAACTTAATGTCAAAGAACGGAGGCTAAACAGTGATTACTTTTACCATTTAAAAAACATAAAAGCAAAATACAAAATAGAAACAAACAAAGCAAAGAAATACTGTAAAAAAAAAAAACAAACACACAAAAACAAAAGCAAGAAATTATAAAATGTCTACATACATATTAATTGTACAATAATTTATATATCAAAACAAAAAGCAAACTCAAAGATTTGTTTATGCCAAAATGAGCAAGAGTATTTAAAATATCCTTTTTCCTTTGCTCTACAATAACTTTTGTCTATAATTAACACGTAAAACAAAAATACAAAGAACTTTAGCATTTAGTGTAACAAATATTTGAATTTTGAATTCTAAAAAAAAAAAACAAACGCGAAATCTAGTTGTGCATTTTGTATATATACAAAAACATATATATATATATATCTACAAACATATATATGTTTATATAGATATACGATACGATATTGATATTGTTGGTGCTGCAAGCAAAAAAGAAAATAAATGAAATTATGGAAAAACGATATGTGGAAATTGAATGTAAAATGAAAAACAAAACTCAGAAATAGGCGAAAGCTATCCGTAAAGTTAAAGGTGTATAAATGTCTAGAAATGTCATAAATGGTCAGGAAGAAACACACAGCTAAATTATATTAATAAAATATATGATCTATTTTTATAATAAATGCGGGAAATTTAATTTTTTTGTTCAGGTGAATAGTGGAAAGTGTTGAGTAGGTACTTACTTTATTTATTTTATTTTATATTTTTTTTATGTTCTTAAATCAAAGACAATCGCATATATTTTAATAGTTTTTTATAATTTTTTTCTTTATTTATTCATACATATGTACGAGTATATGCATATCTCTTTACGTGTGTTTTTACGAGCTACTTTTAAATATTTATGGACTGTTAATTGAAAAACGCATCATCGCTTCTGTGGATTCGCTTCCTTTAGTTATTGATTTTTGATTTTTGATTGTGTTGCTCCACTGATTGAATGAGGATGAGGCGCCTTTAAATTACGTTAGGTGTAAAGCTAAAATTTACAAGTTAAACTAACTAAACTCGTATGCATTTCGAAATCGCTAGAAGAATCAATGCGCTCGGGTTATACGTTTTTCTTTTTATTATTTTTGTTGTGTGGAGTTTTTGATCAATTAGTTCTTCCATTGGGTATCATCCTCCTTGCTTGTCTCACTCTCTCTCTATATACACAAGTCACAAATTGTTTAACAAAAAATTGTGTAGATTACTTAAACACTACATACAACATGGCGGCCGAATTCCACATTTGGGACAATTTCTTTTATGTTTTAACTGATCTTGCGCCGGCTTAAGAAAATTTTTTTCTTTTTATCTTTCCATCGTTTGTTTACTGACACTGAGTTTGAGTTTTTCCATTACTTTTGCTTCGTTTTTGCATCCTTCTTTAAATATTTACAAGAATCTGTTTTAAAACTAATTGTTTTTGGCAGATTCGTGAGTTACAGATCTGGAAGGAGGGGTTTTGAGTACTTTTTATTACAAATTCGTATAGATTGAATAGCATTTTCTTTCTCTCGTGTACTCACTCATAGTCTCCTGTTGGATCTCCACTTTGTATGAGGGATTATCATAGGCAGCATCGCTCTTGCGTGGTGGTGTAATCGATGCCGTTTGATGGACTCGCCTTCGGGTGATGATGAGCAGCAGGGCCAGCGTGGACATTATGGCCAAAGCGGCAATCACAGAGACCACAACCAGGGGCCCATAATAGTCGCCCACAGGCTGATCTGTGCCTGCTGTAAGCAGTTTTCCTATAATAATGAAAGAAAGGCATTAATGCGAGGAATGTTTGAGGTACTTAAATATCCAAAACTACAACTGAGAGAAGACTTTTCTTTTCTTTTACCAAATGTCTTGAAACCCAAATAAATCCTTTCGAAAAATTGCAAGACTTGAAAATGAAATGGTCATCCATGTAAAATTGCTATAGCTATTCCCTCCCGACTCTTACCCGTCTTGCCAGGCGTGGCTGGTCCTCCTGGCTTCGTGATAAAGTTAACCACATTGCTTTTCTTGGTGTTGCCATTCGTCAGATACATCTCCAGCCAGAGGCGGTACTTGGTGCCCGGCTTGAGGTCCATAATGAGAGTGCCTGTGGTGCTGTCCCGCTTGGCCACCTTGAAGACGCTCGAGTCCTCCTTGCCAGCATCGCTCTGGTAGATGGCCCGATAGATGTGCACGAATTTATCCTCCGGGTAGGGCACACCATTCCAGGAGATCTCCACGCTCTGCGTCTTCACCTTGGTGACATTCACGGTCACGTCGAAGCCATAGACATCGATCTTGGGCGCTGTGCGCACCTTGATCATGTGTCCGGCACGCAGCTCTGCCCCATGGCCGGCCAGTGGGATGTAGTAGAGTCCAATCTCATAGCCCGTGTCCGGCTGCAGATTCTGGATGGTGTAGCTGGTGAGGGTGCGGTGTATCAGTGGGGATGAGGAGTAGATCATGCCCGTGAGCTCCTTGTAGCGCAGCTGCACCCCATCCACATACTCCATCTGCTCGTCGCCGAGCTTCTTCCATGTCAACTGCAGCCACGTGGCATTCGTTTCGCTGACATTCAGCTCGGCATCCTCCACGGTCTTGAAGATGTCCTGGAAGTCCGGTCTGTAATCGGTGAAGGGTGGAGGCGGTGTGATTGTCCTTTCCGCTGGCAGTTTCACCACATGCACAGTGCTGGATGGCTGCGAATTGAGATCCCTGAGGATCAATGTGATCTTCACTTTGTACAGGGAATTGGGCTCCAGATAATTCAAATCGAATTCCATCTGCGAGGTGGCCAGCAGATCCTCTGGCGGTGCAAAAATCTGTTGCTCCCACGTGGAGGTGTCATTGCTGGGGCCATTCGTGTAGCGCAGCTCAATGCGTCCGTGCAGATTCACATAGACCTCGGGTACAGTGAAGACAATGTGTATGGTGCGCGCATCCAGCGCCTCCAACGTGTGCACCTCAATGTCTGGTTGCAGTTTGCTATTGCCTTTTGTGGGGTATATAAGAATTTTTGGTTAGTTTTCAGCCACTAATTAATATTCCGAGATTAGTATTTTGTTTGCCCCGCTAAATAATTAACGAATTTGGGTTTGGAAAAATCGCTCAATTTTCGGATTAGCGTAAAAAGCATGACAATGATGAATGAATGGATGGATGGATTGATCTATGGATGTTCTATATATGAATGTGTGTGTGTGTGTGTATAGTATAATTTGTGTTTGTTTGTTTGTTTGTGTGTGGGTCGACAGTTAGTACAGTAAAAAACCCTGTCGCAGTGTTCTGTTGTGGCTGTTGTAGAGTTCTAAGAGGAGTGTTGGTAGCTATAGAATATTTTGTTGTTTCAACCTGGATTGGATTGCGGCTGCTGCTGCTGCTGCTTCGTTAGCTTCTCCTGATTCTGGTGCAGACTATGCTCACTGGCTTGAGTGGACAATCCTGAAGTGGTGCTGGAGCTGGGCAGTATTGTGGCCTGCTGTTGCAGTGGCTGTTGCTTCTGTTGCTGCTGCTGATGGATTGTTGTTGGCGGCACTCCCAAGCCTGGTATCACCGGATAGCTCTCATATGCCACGGGCTGGCCATCGACAATGGCAATGCCATGTGCTGGCGGCGGTGGTGGCAATCCACTGTGCACAATGGGCACATAATGTGCGGGATTCTGCTGCTGTTGCTGTTGCTGCTGCTGCTGCTGCTGCTGCTGCTGCTGTTGGGATGGCGGTCCTCCGGGCACCGTCTGCTGCAAGTGCTGCAGAATCTGTTCGATTCTCACTTGGGAGGGCAGATTGTGATTATCCTTTTGGGTCTGTGCGGGATGTCCATTATGATTTGGATGCCCCGGATGTCCACCTGGCTGTTCTGCTCCCAGTATATTAAACAAATCCGACTGACTAGTGGGCACTGGTGGCGGCTTGCCCTGGGGCGTGCCATTGGGATTGATATCGTACGGTTCGTAGGGATTGTAGTCCTCATAGACAGGCTTCACGGGATTGTAGAAGCCAAAGGGTCCCAGGTGCTGCTGGTGCGGATGCTGGTGACCGAACTGGAAGGGCGCAAAGCCGCCATTCTGCTGCAAGTGTGCCTCACGATCATCGAAGATGACATCGTTCTGGTGCTGCTGTTGCTGATGCTGCTGTTGCTCCTGTTCCTGTTGCTGCTGCTGTTGCTGTTGCTGCTGCTGCTGCTGCTGGTGTTGGTGTTGCACCTTTTTGTGTCCCTTTTCATGGCCCTTCTCGTGGCTCTTCTCTGTCTTCTCAAATATGCCCAGACCTCCGCCTGCGGACTTTGGTGGCTTGCCATCCAACGTGGGATAGAAGGCACCTGTCGATGAGGGCTGCTGCTTCTTCTGTGGCGGCATTTTGCCCGTGGTTGTTGTACTTGTCGTGGTCGTCGCAGTCGTTGTGGTTTCTGTTATTTTGTTGCATGTTGAATGTTGTTTGATTATTTACAAAAATGCGTAGCGTGAATATTTATATTTATAATTGAATTGATGATCAAAAAAGGTAAAGTAAAAACGAAAGTAAATAGCAATTAAAATGCAAAAACAGAAGGTTCGAAAAATAGCAGATAGAAAGACAAGTAAAAGCAGCAGAAAAAAGCGCAGAAAAGTCAATTAATTTCCAATAAACAAAAATCGACTTGAAAATGAAAAAAGCTCAAACGAATGAATATGAAAATGGAAAAATCGTTTCTATATTGCATGCAGTTTCCCCAAAAAAAGGAGAAGGATTAATCCCAAGACATGCAAAATCTCTATTTACCATTGGAAATGCCCGTGGATTGTGTGGAAGACTCTTCGAGGGATTCCTCCTGCCCGGCAGCGCCTAGTTTGGGCACCAACGGTGCACAGCTCCATTGCTTGCAGCACTCGTCATCGGGTATGGGCAGGAGACGGGCCTGCGCCGGATGGCAGGGCAGATCGGCGGGCGGCAATGCCAGCACTGGCGGACACGCCGGACGGCACTCGACACGCCCATTCTCGCAATAGCAGTGCTGATCGCAACCTAAACGGATAACCAAAAGGGTGAGGCATGAGGCGACTGTATGTGGGGGGAATGAATGGGATGCATGAACGTTACCTGAAAGATTCGCTGGAATGGGTGCCCAGTTATCGAACTGCAAGCCCTTGTAGGTGCAGGTGCCATTGTCCACGCAGCGCATGCTCTCCGGACAGCAGTTAGGCGGAATGGGCTTGAAGTCTGCGGGCACTGGCTCCCAGCGGATGCAGTGCGGATCCTGCACGTCCAAGCCAAAGTTCGAGGGGCACTCCACCTTGGCACAGTGGATGCCCTGCTCGTTGCAGATGCACAACTGCTCGCAGCCGTCGCGGAACTGCTGGCCCACCTCGTACTGGGAGCCCTTGAAGGTGCAGCCAGATGAGGCGCCTCCCGCATCTCTGGCCTGCTCCTGCAGCCCATAGACATGCTCCTGGTGATGCTGCTGCTGCTGCTGCTGCTGCTCCTCCTCCGAATCCTCATTCACACTGTTCTGTGGTGGCGACTGCGGCTGCTCATGATCATCCAGCGTGACATCGCACAGCTCCAGCTGGCAGCACACATCCTTGGGATCCTTCACATACACACACTTGTCCGCACGCGTGTGATTCCTCTCCGGACACCTGGGACGGCAGTCCATCACTCCACCCTCGGCACAGTGGCAGATCTGATCGCAGGCGATCTCCAGACGTTCGCGGAACTTATAGACGCCGCCCATGTAATGGCAATCATTCTTCGGCTTGGGCGTGGCTATGTGGGTGCAGTGGCAATGCAATGCAATGGGAGGGGGAGGGAATGCAGTCGAGTCGAGTGTGTGCGGCGAGTGTTTATGTGTTGTGGTGGTGGTGTGGCATGTGAGGCACGTTTTATGGAATGCATAGAGAACATACAGCATGTTAAAAAGCTTTGGCCAAAAAGGATATCGACATGTAAAAGCCACAAAGAAAGCCATAACAAAAGCTACTACTTCTGCTTCATTTTGCTTAGAGTCTTCTGCTAGTGATTAATGGAAAACTCACCTTCGTCATCGCTGCTCGAAATGGTTGTGGCTTCCTCTTCCACTGCTGCTGCTGGGTCTGCCACTGCAGCTGCCGCTCCCTCGGCTATGGCCACTGTAGGCTCTAGCAGTGGTTCATTGCACTCCATCATACGACAGCATTCATCCTCCTCCACCACACGCTCTCTGCAGTTGGGATTGGCCATGCTGCGCTGGCTGCCACGGGGATAGCTCAAGCCCTTGCAACGTGGCTCACACATCCAGTCGCCGCGATTGCAGGTGCAACGCTCATCGCATTCCCTTTCCATGATGTCGCCATGCTGCAAAATATGGGATTTATTTTAAATTTATTTGAGAATATAAATCTAGGAATGATTCTATAAATATTCCCAGCAATGGAGTGTCCCATGGTTCAGTCCCATTAGTTCCCTTCACCCATTCAATCAAAACCTAATCAAGTTTCTTCCTTTCTTTCCCACAACTTTCCCTGTCTGCAATGGCAAAAGGTTCGTTCTATCATCATTTATTTGGGGAAATGACTTAAGATCGACCTACTGTGCCAGTTCTCTCTCTCTCTCTCTCCAATCTCTTTTTGTATCCGCAAAGACATTTTTTGCAGCCAATTTTTGTGTGCTCCGTGAAAGCTATTTGCACAGAAATTACGTCAATTTGTGGCATAAGGCAAGAAGGCAAAGAGGCAAATAAAACTAAAGTTTTGGAGTGGCTGATCATCAATCAACCGGCTGTTGACTTAAGGCAATCATGAGCTGAAATTTCCTGCTCTCTGGTATGGAGTGCTCCAATAACCAAATATGTCAAATACTACAGCCAACTTCAGCGATGCCCACGCACAAGTTCGTGTCTCAAGTCTTTTGTTTTAGCGGGAAAAGACTTTAGGCAGTCGTTTGTTCTTTTAATTAAACGTCGGTAACGTCGGGAACATCGGGGTCTAGGGTTCTGTGTGCTCTCTCAGCCATTTATATGGCTCTCAGGTGCGCAAATTCACGCCCAAAAGCTTTTTATGGTGTGCCTCTGCCCCCTGCTTTTATGTTGGCTAATGAGCAAAGTTCTTGTGAACTTTTGGGGCCTCGGGCGGCACATAAAAACGCCCCCTTTGCCACATTAAACTACTGAAAATCCAAGCTAAAATATCAGTTAAACTGTGCAATTTACTTTATTAATGCCATTTGTGTAGTTTTTTTTTTTTTGCTGCTGCTGTGTCTGCTCACTTGAAAAACATTTGTGGCATGCGGCTTGGCATGTTGCACGTGTCCGCCAATCGATGGCAATTTATAAAAAAATATTTTAAAGGGAAAGAGGGTGGCGCGGTAACAATTCATTAAAAGTGAAAGCAAAAATTATTTCATATCGAAGGCGAACCGCAAACTCGATTATGAAAACGACAACACAAACAATTTAAAAGATTAAGAAAAAATATTGAATAAAACAGGTAGGGAGGTTTATAAAGGCAAAGAAATACTCTTTTTATGGATATTAAAAGTGCTAATAATATTGGAAATTATTTGAAAGTTCTTTGGAGATTGCAAACATTTATTTTATTTCCCCTTTCGATAGCTTAGATTTGTTTTTTCTTTAGACGAACTTTCACTTAATGAAACTCAAAGTGCCCATACCCCTCTATTGATTAGGGTACTTGAAAAAGAAAAGCCAAACGCTCGTTTAATTAAAGCAAAATCAACACTCCAGACTCAGACTCAGGCCCAAAGCGCAAGCGCAAGCCCAGGCGCAGGCTCCAACCCAGTAAAGTGGGTTGGGTTTTGGTCAGTAGTGCTTCAGTCCACAGCTGCAATAATTGCAACAACTGCACTATATACATATATATATATGGTATAGTATATATATAACTACAACCGATGTAAGCCATGAGCAGCGTTCATGATTGCTGGCCATTCCGTGCCTCTCTGTGGCCGAGTGCAATGTTTGATGAACACGTCACAGTTGGACAGACGCACAAAGGCGTGTTCGAAATGATGGAAAATGCTCGTTGGCTTTTAATTAGATGAATTATTTTAGAGATGAAAGATACAAGCACTACAGCTTTATGCATTGTTTAACCAAATAGTTCTAATGCAAATCATTTATCCAGTGATTTATTTGAAATGCCAACAATTTGCACATTGTTGAGTTGATTGCTGATGGATTCCTCTGTTCAAACTGGCATGGGCTTTGCATTTGAGAGTAGTTTCGGATTGGTTTGTTTGCATCTGTCTCTGGGCATGGACAGCCGCTCTCTGCCGCTCGTATCTCTCGCAGTGCCGTTTGTATCTGCCGCCTTTGGGGCAAAACCACAAAGGCGATGTCAACATCAATCACAACCCAGCAATTTTCTGGAATTTTCTTTGCACGTTTTGTTATTGTTTTTGTCTTGAAATTTGTTTCTACATTTTTGTCTCTTTTTTATTTTTAAGGTGCGCAAATATTTGCATAATTGCTGCTTGGTCGAACAGCGACAGCAGCTCACCGAAAATATGTTTCATTTTTTTTTGTTTTTGGAGTGCAGCAGCAGCTGCATTGGGGGATTGAGAGTGAGTCTGAGAGCCTGGATGAATATGGAGCCCAGTGCTCTGACCGGTTTCATTATAAGCAGTGGCAGCGGGTCCCAAAACTTGTTGGCCATTATGCAATCTCCAGGGTGACGACAAGCAGCTCCAATTTGGAGTTGCGTGCCAGGAAGTGGGCTGGCTGCCATGCCACACAAAAAGGAATGAATATGAAGGCGTTTTTTGCGCTTTCTCTACGCTGATCAAACTTCTATATATACATAAATATTTATATTTGTTTATTTTCTATATACGTGGATACTAACCTTGTAGGTCTTGCTGTTGGCCAAACATTCGCGTTGCATTGTATCCCCGCTGGCGGTGATTTCTACGATTTTGGGCATTTCCGTTTCCGGTTGAACAGTTGTTGTTGTTGTTGTGGTTGTTGTTGTAGTGGTGCTGTTGCTGTTGCTACTGCTACTCTCTTTGGTATCCTCATCCATGCTAACATCACTGAGATCCATGAGCTGCTCATGCGTTGTGGCATTGCGATGCAGGAAGAGCTCCTCCGCATCATCATCGCCGGCACCACCACCCGCTGAACGTCCCTCACCGGCAAAGGCAACAAATGGCGATGGCTCCTCTGTGGTTGTGGTGGCTGGCGTTGTGCTGGTGGTTGTACTGGTGCTGCTCTCCGACTCCTCCTCCTCCTGTTGCATGTGTTGTCCTTCAACAATGTTAATCACTGGACCCAACGACGACGATTCGTTGTCTGATGGTGGCATGATTGTAGTGTCAGCCGCCGCATCGATTTCTGTCTCCTCATTCATATGCATGGCGCGTGCTCGAGATGTGGTTGTGCTTGTGCTTGTGGTTGTAGTCGTACCCTCAGTGGATGTCGATGTGGATGGCTCGGCTGTAGCCTTGTTCTCCAGACTGACAATAATACCAGCAGCATCAGAGCCGCTCTCTGTGCTGGTTGTGGTGGTTGTTGTTGTTGCTGTAGCTGGCTCGGACGCTGACGATGACGCGGAGGACTCCTCAGTGCTGGTCGACAGCATTTGATAATCTTCGTGTTCGGCCAGGCGATCATGATTCTCGGACAGTATATGCACATGATAGGGATCCTCTTCGCGCTCTTCGCGCTGCTGCACTGTTGCCTCTGTCGTTGTCGTTGTCGTTGCTGCTGTTGTTGTTGTTTCATTTATCTTTTCACTTTCATTTTCACTGGGATTCACTGAGGCGTCACTGTTCTCCTCGCTGTTGCTGTTGCTGGCCGTGATCAGCGTCGCCGGATGTCGGAAATTATTCAGATCCTTGACCACATCATCGTTCTCATTGGATATTTGATTGAGCAGCTGATCTTCGCGTGGATCCTTCAGCGCCTCGGTGGTGGCATCAGCTCCACTATTCTCCGCATGCTCATCCCTCAGGGGTATGTGCTGTATGTGGGTCTGATCCCCCTCCGTGTGGGAGAAGATCAAATGCTGTTCGGGTCCCTCGCTCTCCTGTCGCGGCGTTGTTGTGGGCTCTGTCGAGGTGATGGGCTCAATGCTGGTGGAACTCACAGAGGAACTGCTGGTTGGGTCCACAGCAGCGGTGGGCAGAGAGCTGCTGTTGCTGCTAGTTGGCAGCGATGTTGTGGTTAACTCTGAAAAAGGTAGAAGAAAGGTAAAACATTATAGTCTTTATAGTAAAAGGAAGCAATAAGGTTACAGCAAAATATCTCTTGGCAGTCCCTGGAGCACGCTTCTTACTGAAACCATAACCATTGGCTCTCCTTCTCCTTCGACATCTGTCTATAAATATTCCCTTCCTATCAATACTGACTCATCTCCCCCTCGCCGAATGGGGTAAATAAACTCTTAAGACTTTGTCCCACATTTACGGTAACTGAATGGACTGTAAAAAAAAAAACAGAACTTTTCTTGCGCAATTCTAGCGGAAATATGGCAAATCGTATTGGAAATATCTCACGCGTACCATCATTATCATCATCATCATTATCATCATCATTATCATCATCAGCCACATCATCCGCAATTCCGCATTGGCCATGCCATCATTGAAAGGTAATTTCTGTTTTCAGTTCTCAATTCGCGTCTCGCTTTTTTGCCACACAACGAACCGAAGCCCAAGCATCTTTCAAGCAGGCAGCATCAATTCCTCAAAATCTGCAAGGTATTCATTAAGCTCTCCGTCTGTCTGCTGCCTGCTGCCTGCTGAATCATCGGATGGGTCGGGTTGGTCGTCCGTTCTTGGAAGCTCCAGTGGCGGGGACAAGCCCCACAGCCAAAATATCAGCACAGCCACATCTTTTATGATATAATTCTTGTTTCTCTTTGGGTTTCTTCTTTGACTTGTAAAGCGCTTAGGCGACGGCCTGCCAAAGATGTTATTTTTTGTGCTTTTTTCTCTTCCATCTTCCACATTTTCTTATATAATTACATTTATATTCGGGCATTCATGTCATAAATAAATGCTGACCTTAGTGGAGCCCCCAAAAACACTTGTCTCTTGCCCCGTGGCTGCTGCAAAAAATTAAGTTTGCTGCTGACCACAGAAAACATTCAATTAAAAATTTAATTCATTAATTGGAACTTGAACTTGAACATCAGCGTTAATTGTAGCACTTGTGGGAATACTTCCAAAAAGGGGTTTATCAGATCTAAAGTAAGTGGATGGTAAGCCATCCATCAAAGTTCTATTCACAATTTCCCTTTATTAAGTCAATCAATACGCATTAAATATGAACATAATTATGTTTGATGGCTCTTAAATAGCTCTAAGAATTTCCTGAATTTCCATTTTGCATATTTCAGACCATTTTTCAGTAATAACTCAAAGTGGTTGGCTGCAAAATGATTTGCACACCCCATCATTGCAGGCTTCAGTCTCGAATGGTAAAAGTAAATAACCCTTTCCATCACACATACCATATATACCATATATGTATACTCGTACTCGTACTCCGCTGACTCATGACGTACTTCTCTTTCATTTGTGCAGACTGTACGGGGGGGAAACAGGAAACACCCGCTGACGATGCTACCCTATGGGGACGGCATTTATCCAGTCAAGTCCCTACGCCTAGACAGGCCCTAGAGAGGGGGCCCTGGAGTGTAGGCGGTTGGGGGAGAGAATGGCGACTGGCGACTGGGACTGTCATGCATGCGTGGTAATAAGCATTAAAGCGGACCCTAGGCCCCAGTTGTCGTCGCTCCAATAAGAAAAAGGTACAAAATATACGCTTGGAGGCAGTCAGTCAGAGTCAGAGGCAAAGTCTGACTCAAAAGACAGAGTCTCGGAGTCAGCATGCAACGGACGCCAATTTAGCGCTAAGAAACGTTGAGAGTAGAGAACTTACATAGAACGAATTGAGAATGCTCTAAATGAGGTTTCCAAAGAAGAAGAAAATTAAGGAAAATTGAAGATTTATTGGCCACAAAAGAGTGATTTAGGGGAAGTGAAAGAAATGGGGATAAATGGACAGGGTTTTTCCTCAAAGAATCATCGAGAGGATGCAAAGAACGCAGCTTTCAAGGCAGAGCACTTTTATGCTCTTATTTGTGGACTGCTAAGAAATATTCCAGCAAAGATTAGTGCAACAAATTCCTATCCGAAAATGAATGCGTCACACCTCCCCCCTTGTCTACAAAATTCAATCTCCTTCCATTTTTCAATCCCAAAATAAATGTATATTTCCCCACACCAATGGGAAGGGTATACAAAACGTAGAAGAACTTCCAAACAGTTCGTTAGCCCAGAGAGAGAGAGAGAAAAGAGTAAGAGAAAGAGACCCTAGTCGACATCCGACAATATATATAGACAGAACAGATCTTTATGTGTGTGTTTTATGTTTTAGCTGTTGCTTTTATTGTTGTGTGGAATGGTAAGACAGAGAGAGATAGAGAGAGAGAGACCAGAACTCTTAGGGTTACTGACATGAACCTTGAATTTCAGTTCGTTATGCTGCTGTTGATGTTGATGTTGCTGTTGCTGTTGCCTTTACCTTTGTGGCAGCCTCCAGGCCATGCCATAGCTCCAGCACCAACTCCAGCTAGGGAGCTGCTATTGCAGTTCTTGGCTGTTCTGTACGGTTCGGTTCGGTTCGGGCCTGTTGTCACGGTTAGCCGTTTATAATACGCCAACTGTTCGAAGTTCTTGTGGCCTGGCTGGCTGACTGGCTGGCTGGCTCCTTTCCTTTTGTTTTGTCTGTTTTTACTTGGCGCACAATTTGTCTTTTACTGTCATTGATTTTCATTTTTCACTCGGCACTCGTTAAAGCCCAGCCAAGGTATCTTCAATTTATTTTTGTATATATACTAGAATATATATATTGTATATATATGTATATATGCCTTATGTATTCCGTATAGATGGGGGGACTTGTTTGGTGGTCTTTCCGTTATGCAAGTCTCCTTCTTTTTTATTTCTGTGCTGCATCTGCCACACACAAAAGACTCAAACAACGAACTTGAGTTGCTGTATCTTTTATGCTACGTTTTTCGCTCTGCATGTTGCTTGGCCAATGCAAAATGGGTTTTTGGTTTAGCATAGTTTATGACTCAAAAGCTAAGCCGGTCAGCCAGTCTTGATTATGATATATATACGACTCCATATACATACATACATACATATATGCAAACGACAATGAATGCGATCAACAACAACAACAACAACCACAAGACCAAATCCACTTATGCAGAAAAATGCAAAAATGCCTGACCGCCCGCCTGTCCGGTAGTCCCACAGCAACACTCATTTGCGGTTTTTCTAAGTCGCCGCACGTTCTGCGGCTCACACAAGCAAACAAATGATCGGACAGCCAGCCGGACAGCAGTCCCAAGGAGTGGGAGATCGTTGGATATACACCCCTACCCCTCTACAGTACATGCAGGGGGGGAGTCTACATAAGTGATGTGCTTAGAATTGACAAGCTGCCATGAAGCGTTGCATTGCTAACCGGATGTCTTTGTTGGGTGGGATAGTTGCTGTTCTTCTGCTGCTGCTGTTGTTGCTGAAGATGATGATGATGATGATGGTCTTGATCTAGAGTTGATGATGGCCCAAAGTACACGTTAGAATTGAAATGAGAATAAAGGGTTTCTTGGTCAATTGAACAGCTGCAAAGGCGATCAAAATGATTGGAGTAGACAATGAGGTAGATACCTATATGAAAAAGACTTTGGGAAACGACATTTGGGAGCTATAAATTATTGATTTCTAGCTGCCTTGCTTTGGCATCGAAATTCGCTAAAGAGAAAATGTTCTATACTTAAGATTGAAACGAATTGATTGCTACTTCTTAATTTTAAAGAAATATTTCCCATTGTGCTTGTACTTTTATCAAATGCTTAAGTTTTCTATCATTCTTTCTGGTTCTGTTACGCATAAAACAGGTATAATAATCCATTTATAAACATTCTTAAACGGTTCATTATCTGTACCCCCTCGTATTCTTTTTTTCCACCAATTTCCGTATCTATAGATGTGTTTGATGTTTGATGTTTGAGCTCTGGGGGCTTCGACGCAGCCAACCGGAAGCAGCGCTTCATAATGAAACCTGCCTAATGAATGGTCAATGGTCCCCATGCCCCCCACACCACACCACTCCCTCCCGACCATTCCCCACACTATTGGCCGCATTTTGTAACGCGCAAAAAGTGTCAACAAAACGAAGCGGCTCCACCGATCGGAAAAGGGTAAAAATAGGGGACTGGGCGAAAGGTCTGACCATATTTGTTTTTGTTTTTTCGGGCAATGTAACGGTCATGCCTCAGAGTGTGTCATGAATCCATAATATATATGTATTTATATAGGTATACATACGCATATATATCCGAATTGTATTATGCAGCTGTTGGTCCGGTTTTGACTTCGAATTATAAACAAATTCGAAATTGATTACGCAATTTTTGTTGGATGTTGCCTGCAGTTTCAGCTTACTTTATTCCCCACCTCTTGGGTGTTAATTTTGATTATCTTTTTTTTGGGTTTAATTAAAACCAGAGTTTTGGATGTTTTTTTCTATTGTATTTGCTTTAGAAATTTGGTGCTGATGTTAATGAAATTTCATTGTGATGGCTTTTGTCCATGAAGATGATAATCCACACAGACACACACACACACTCAAAAACAAAAGTCGTGTATGGAAATTTGTGAAACCAAGTGTTAAATTTCAATAATGAATGTAGGGATATGCTTGAGATGTGATGAGAGAGTGAATGGAGGAATGGATGCAGAAGAAACAGCAGAAGATTGCGGAAGAAAATCTTCAAGAAATCATTCTGTAGTTTTTATTCTACTTATATTTAACATTACTTTGATGGAGCCATCAGTCTTAGGTATTTTCTTGCTCATTTACACTTTTGAAATACATTTAAGGCCCCGTTTTATTCTATAACAAAAGAATCCCACAAAAATCTACCAACTACACGGCTCTCTATCATAAGTTTGTATCTCAATTGCAGTTAAACGACCCAAATACGAGACCTTTTATCGGCCTTTCTATCTGGCTAATGACATAAAAAGAGTGCCCAGTGGAAAGGCAATGCCCAGCGGTCATTCATTCAGTTATTTCTGATAGGGTAGAATTCCACTTCACACAACAACAGCAAAGGAAACCAGCGAAAAAGGGGGAAGACAAGT